ATAAATTATTCACATCCAAATAATTACCTCTGTGTCTGGTTGCCTCAGTGCTGTACTTGCAAGCTGACAGGTTAAAGGCTGACAGTTGTGTGTTGACGGATGTAAAGCGCGTCAAGATTTATTTTCCCCCCAGCTTCTTTTGAAGAAATGGCATCAGAAGCACCTGTGCTCCTTTAGCTGAAGCACCGAACTGAGTTGAAAAAAAGAAGAAGGGGGAAGTGAGGATAAGCTGGGTCAGCGTGCTGTCAGAGGCTGGGTTGAGTTGCAGCTGTGGGGGCTGTCGGGATGGGGTGGGTGAGGCCTCATGCTACAACTCGTCACTATTGGTGTTTAGGCTTGCAACCTTTGGAATTTGTGACTCTCTGCGCTGCCAAGACTCACACAGCAGCTTGAACAGCAAAGAGAGGCTGTCCAACCCCTCTGTTTTCACGCTGACCTTCTGGGATGTCACCAAGTCCATTGAGCTTGAAAAATCTAATGTGGGTTCACTGATCTGCTGACTGGATTTAATGTAAGCACATTTTTTCTTTCATTATAACTCTCTCAGATGTGAATGTGACGTTGCTTAAACTGTGGCTCTTCAGTGGTTTATTGGGAAACACTGCAAAAACTGTCCATTTTACCAAGTTTTAAAATCTTATATCCAGCCAAAAAGTCTTTTTGATCTTATTTTGAGACTGATTTACTAAACAAGAACTGATTGTGTAAGAATAATCATCTTGTTTTCAGAATGTGTAAGATTATTTGTCTTGTTAGCCTGAAAATTTGAATCAAATTAAGTTAAAGATTTCTGCCAATGGAGTCAGAAAATTTTACTTGGTAAGATTCTTGAAATAAGAAAAAAATTGAGTCAAATCAAGTATTTTCTGACGGCAGAAATTTTTTTACTTAATTTGATTCAAATTTTCAGGCTAACAAGACAAATAATCTTACACATTCTGAAAACAAGATTATTATTCTTACACAATCAGTTCTTGTTTAGTAAATCAGTCTCAAAACAAGATCAAAAAGACTTTGGCTGGATATAAGGTTTTAAAACTTGGGAAGATGGACAGTTTTTGCAGTGAACATGTTCATCATTCATTCTGTTTTATTCAACATTATAATATAGAGTGATTACACTCATATTTGCTTCCTGGAAAAATTTGTTTTTCCTGTCAGAAATGTTGTTTTTGTCTCTACAGTCGAGGCACATGATAAAACTCGCTTTACGATAGAATTCCCATCAACTATGGATCTATGACATAGATAAAAAGAAATGAGAGGTCTTGAAATCATTTTGGATAGCATCAGTCCTGGTGGGCATCTCCCCGGAGCATACCAAAGCTTGTCTCAGTTAAAAAGTATGGTTTTTTTTCAGTGGATTCAAAGTTATCTTATGTGTTGATCCAAAATTTACTCCCTGACTAAACCCTTAAGTCATTTCGAGTTAACTATTTGTTGTAAAGCCAAAGGCAGATACAAATTATTTGCATTTTTCTGTGTGTGTGCGCATTTATATATCTGTCGTGTCAGTCAAACAACAAGATGGCTGCCACAGCTAGCTGATTTGAAAAAAAAAAGGCAGTTTTACAGATATTGACATAACATTTTGTGTGTTTCTAGCATTGCACAAGCTCTTCATTGCAGACTTTGCCAAAAAACTGCTTGCGGTCAACTCTGTTGGTCAAATATTTCATAAAACACTGGATAGAATCGTTGAGAAAATAATCATTAGATGTACTGCTACAGCTCATTCAGTTTTGGAACCAACTTAATTCAAGATGGCTAGCACAGACGGCTCACCTTAGGAAATACAATAAATGGCTGTTACTTGGTCAGTTTTACAGATTTGGAGCTGAAGTTTTTCGTGGAAGTACCCAAGTCATTTTGTACACATATTCCGATCATGATATTTTGCAATATTTCCTGGGATTGTGCATACTGTAATTAGACCAAAATGACTACATCTGTGATATTTCTCAACATGAAATGGTCTTAAATTCCTGCCATGGTGATATGCGTTCCTTCAAGGAATGCTAAGCATTTAGATATTTTTCTTTCCTACTGATGTCGCTGGACTTCTTTCATCTTGTGTGTCTGAATGGGACTTCTCATGCAGTTAGGAGTCCTTGTTTTCCATCTCCATTTGACACACTTGGCTAATTACAGGAGCATGAGATGCCTGAGTTCCCCTTAAGCTCACACTCTTGTGTGCAAGCGAGTGTCCGTTTCATCCCCTCCTCTCAATGACTCCCCTGTGGAAAAGCTGAGAGTGGAACTGTTTATACATACGGTATTCTTCGGCCATCACTCAGTAGGAGGAGAAGACCCATGAAGAGTGCGAGCAAAACGGCCTGGCTCTGGGTGTTTTTCCTTCGCTGTCAGCCTTGGGCTACTGTTCCGTGGTGCAGTTCAGAATGCCAGCAGGTAATATTCTTCACCTCGGTGACAAAAGAGAAAGCGTGGGAGTGTAGGTGGAAGAGGAAAGAGCCAGACACAAGAGCGAGTGGGCAGATGAAGGCTCTTCTGAGAGTGGATAAACATGTGAACATTTAGTACTTCCTGTCTCTGTCCGACTCTGAGTGGGCTGTTAATGAGTCTGAAAGCTTCATCCTTGGCACCTGTCAGCCAAGAATCAAACGAAGCTTCTAGAAAGAGCTGTTAGCTGAAAAGAAATGCTCGGTTCCTCGTCTAAAATTTATGTAGTTTATTGGAGTCTTTTAAAATGTCTTTTTGCTTTATAACTTCATCTCTTTGTAGCTGTGACTAATAAATTGAACACAACTGGTTTAAGAGTGTTATCCAGTCCATCCTATTTGTACTTGTAGGTTTTGTTTCATCTTTTTCTATTTCTGATTAGTATAAATGACAAACAGACAGAAACACTTTTCTATTTATCTCTTTAAACATTTCAGATTCAGTTACCAGTACTAACAAATTCAGTTGTAAATTAAAGGAATGTGAGTCACCTGCAGCCTTTCATGTCAGAGTTATAAATTAAAATTATCCTATGCTGAGAAATGATTGAACAGATGTTGAAAATATTATGCCAGGCATTTAGGTAGGATTTTTGAAGAAGGGGTTGACACTTTAAGCCAGTCCCCCTCCCACATACTGTATGAAGCTTACGGAAATTTGCGAAATTAAGTAGGAAACAGCAGCTACCGAAGCTGTAAAATTGGTGCCCACCTCTATCCAAGCTGGCACAATTTATTCTTTGTGTCTTCTTCTGGCTTCATAAAAATAAATGTGGTCACCCCCACACTGCTTACAAAGTTTACTGAAGTTTAGGAAATTGACGTAGGGGAAAAAAAAAATCAAAATATGGAAAAAAAAGTCTGTTAAATCTTGGTGTACCCAAAGATCAGCACGATGCTCTGAGGGTGTCGGACATAAAACAGGACACCCTTCTAGCTAAAGGCCTGTATTATGCACAATTAGGGCTGCAACGATAAATTGATTAATTGACGACTAATCAATTATTAAAATAATCGATGAATAATTTAATAATCGATTACCGGTAATCGTTTATTTATTTATTTTTGTTCTTTACTTTGTTTTTCTCTCCAAACTGCTTTGACACCTTCCACTGCCACATCTGCCTTTCTGTCCTTGACACACATGCACAGTAGTGGTAAGTGGGGTAGGCCGTGGACGTCACAAGACATTATAC